ATAATGTAAGAGATATGAACTTTTAATTTAACGGTTAAATTTACAAAATTCATATTTAATATAAAATTATTAAGCAGTATAATACTTAGTAAAAGTTACACCAGTATTATTATAATCATATATATATATAGAAAAGCTTTTTTTTATAAATATATATATATATATATATATATATATATATATGTGTGTGTGCGCTAAATTTATGCATACAAAATAATTGGTCCCAAACGTCAAATTAAGCATTTGGCCATGCACAATAATGAAAAAAACGTAATAGCAAAGTTTCATGAAGAGAAAGATCAAAGATTGCAAAAGTAGGTGAAACAGCCTTTTTAATTTTTTTTTTTACAGTTATTAAATTCTTTTTTTATATCCCAATATGTTTAACTTCTTTCTCTAAATTACTGACAACGTTAAATGTGTTATTGGATGCTTCGATACGCAATTCAATTGTGTGAACAAAAGGAAATGAAAATCAACCATCGCAACTAACTTTATTTTAATTCTTTATTTTTGAATTTTTTAAAGAGTGCGCTGCAAATTATGAGATCACCAATATTTGCTTTGGTGAATTTGAAAGTTTAGAGTAATTTGGAATCTTCCATACTTCCCTTTTAGCTTATCATTTTAAAAGATTTATTTTTATTTGTTTGTCATTTTACTACAAAAAAATATTACATAAATAACTTATAAAAAATTTATTGTAAATATAATATACGTAAACATAAATTTATTTGATATATATATATATATATAATTTTAATATTAATTTTGAGTGAAACTTTACAATATATTTTATATGTTATTATAATTTATATCTATTTTTTTAACAATATATATCAATACATATTATATTTATAATATAAATAAAAATAATTTTTAGTAATAATATAAATAATGTTATTACATGACATTTTCTTTTAATGTTTTAAAAGTATAAAGTTATTATTTTAAGCCATATTTTATTTTTATCCTTTTAATAGGTATTGTGTACACTTATCAAGAATAAAAAGTAAACACTAGTATAGGAAATGTTAGAGTAATAAAAAAAAAAGAAATGAGCTACAAATTAAAAAATATATAAATTGCCTAAAACGTACGTGTTCAGAAATACATTGTGCATAAGTATTGAATGTACCTTATTAGATACTTTAAATCATTACATCAAAGTTCAGCAAAAAAAAATTATTATATAAAAAAATTGTATGAAATATGTAATTTTGACACAACAAATACTTTTATCTAATAAAAAATTGTATATTTGACCTCTAATCATATATTTACAATTATCGAGGTATGAATCAAGACATAGCTAGCAAGCATTCTTTAATTATTTTCAATGAGTGGTTCTTGGATTTACTAGTTATGTTAAATATTCAAATAAAAGATTTTTTCATTTATAGTGATTTTATATACTTGAACAATATTGTATCTGGTAGAGTATACGATTACCGTAAGACTTTTCTATATCTGTTAATTATTTTTTTAATATTTTATTTTCAATAATATAAGAGATTATTTAAAAAGAAATAAATTTTGAGAATTAATTAAGATGAATTATAATCATGGTATTGTTTGTAAAAAAATAATAAACTTTAAGGATCAATTATATTAAAATCAAAGTTCATGTTGTCGATTTGCTATGAAGATAAAAATTTAAGGATCAATTTAGATAAAATTAAAATTTATAGTGTTTATCTGAAAAAGAGGTAAAGTTTAGGGCAGTTAAATGTTTTTTCTCCAAATATTATTAACCATGTATCTAAATATAGTGTGAATTGTAGATGTGAATATGAGTATCTAACTAAACAGTAGCCAATAGATACGAGGATAGAAATTGAACTTATTATCCGTGCCGATTTGGAACATATTACAAGTATTATTTTTAAATATAGATATAGGGATGGATATTATAAAATCGTATCTAAGTTTTATAATTTTCTAATAATATCTATTATAGAAAATTAAAAGAATCTTTGAAATTTATGATTCTCATATAATAATAAAGAATTAATATTATATACCTTTTTTTATAATAAAAGTTTCTTTTAATTCTTAGAGCACTTTGATTTTTTTGAGAAGAGAACCAAGATTTCATTTTTTTTAACTATTTTTTCTACTTCATCTTTCATGATGATTAGGATTTGAGAGAATACTTTTTGTAAGAAGATGTGAATCTTACTTCACATTAGTGGATATTTATAATCTTAAAAATCGTTATTCCCATCAAATAATGATTATTTTCAAAATTGTTCAATTAAGTCTATTTATAATTTAATCCCTAATTATGTAATTATTTATTTATTAGTCTTTTTATACATCACATATTTCTCACATGAGATATAATTGTCTTACATTGTCATCTTTATTGATAGTGATAAGTGCAAGACTTCGAAAACAAATGGATGGTCACATGGTGATTGAGGGCAATGCAAGGAAAGCATTAAGAAATGAGATACTACAAAATGAGGAACACAATAAAGGAAAAAGGAAACTAAAAATGATACAAAATCGAAGATGATGTAGTTGGTAGCTTTCGTTGGAGGTCGTAGATGATGACAAAATCGCAAAGAAAAAAAAAAGTTTGTTGGAGATGCTTGGAGTATTGTTTAGGGTTTGGAGTATTTTTCAAGATGCTTTTGGCATTGAAAAAGAAGTTTTGCAATAGAGTTTGTGGAAAAAAGAAATAGTGCACACGAGAGTCAAATGAGGTTTAGAGGATTTCTTTTAAAGACCTTTTTACTTTGGTTATAGATTGGGCTAACATAAAATGGTTTTTTTTATTATTATTATTAAATAGGTTAAACATATAATCGATGTAAAAGAGAACATTCTACAACAGATTATTTTTAACTGATGTAGGAAAGTTGTTTAAAATTTTAATTATGTTGTCGCAATTTTTATTAAATTGATTATTTAATAATTAATGTAAAATATAATTTTGTATTAGTGTATATTTGGTCTCTATAGAAAAAAAAAATGGTTTATGGGTGTTGTATATAAGTCCTTGAAAATATAATTAATATCTCTTTTGTCATTAATGCAATATATATCTACTAATTTCAAGAGTAAATTTTAGTAGATTTATCCTATTTAATAATTCTTATTTTATATTAAATTTTAACGATGTAACTGTTAAATTAAAAGGTTTTAATATAAAAATTAAATTTACAAAATTTTTAAAAACTTGGATATTATTTGATACTTTGATTCCTTAATTCAAGTTAACGTATAAAATATTTTTATTAATATTCATTAACTTGAATTAATTTAATGAAGTATCAACTAATTTTTAAATTTTTTAAAAATTTGTAAACTTGATTTATGCATTAAAAACTATAAATTTAATGGTTAGATTGTTAAAATTTAATTTTTGAGTGGAATAATTTCATCAAAATTTAATCTTAAAGTATGTAGATCCTTAATTTGTTATATATATATATATA